TCTCAACTGTTTTTTTTTTTAATTTTATAAAGTGTAACCAATTGAGACGTAGCATAACTTAACTAAATCTAGATTTGAGGCGTAACTAAAATATGTCTCAAACATAGATTTTTTTAATGTTATGTTACGTCTCAATCGGTTAATCTCATAGTACTTTGACCTAACAACACATAACATTGTAACCTATGGTATCTTTCTAATTAATTGATTTTTCATTTATACATATATAGAGAGAGACCTATATATAGAAAGAGAGAGATGTAAAAAAATGACTAACTAAAAAATTTTGTTAAACACTTAGTAGTTAACAAAATTGTTTTGTTAACAATATTATTTATATATTTGATTAATTATGTATTTCATTACTGAAAAACGCAATAACACGTTTTTCAAAACTTTTGTAATCAAAAAATTAAAAAAAAAAATTAACCGACACTTGTGGGTTAGTTTTTAAAAAAGACATCTTAAAGGTAAATACAACATTAAAAGCTTTAAAAGTAATGTAACAAAAAAGTTAAAAAAAAAAACACGTTTAAAAGTTAAAATAACTTACAGTACTTAAGTAATCTAAGGAACTTATTACCTTTAAAAGTATAACCAACCGAGACATGACGTAATGTAAAACATTTAAAAATTAAAACATAATTAAAATAAATTACAAATATAAATATTTTTACAATGCGTAACGTAATTTTAAAATGTTATAGGGGATGTAAGAGATAATAATACTATGTTTAAATACTTATTTTTATGCAATTTACAGTTTTTATGGTAAGTTTATGGTTTATAAAAATAATACTATTTTTGTGAATTGATTCTTGTACATAAAAATATTCTTGTTAAAGTGTAACAATAAAAGTTTGAACATAGTAGCTCATGGTATCTAACAAGTGTGGGACAATGAATTAATTGATTTTTTGTTGTCAAACAAAATTATTATTGTCATATTTGTCTTGTTACTCATATTTTGTTTAAAACTCATATTTTGTTTTTTTGTAATCATTGTTTTTGATTGAAAACCATTCAACAGAATGGTTTTCAATCAAAAATAATGATTAAAACTTGCTTTATAAAAATATTTTCTTTGAATAATGTTCAGCATGACTTAAGCCAATAGTTTTTTTTTAATTGTTTTTTGTTTTGTTTTTTTTTTAAAAAAAATAAATTCAAAAGTATAAATTTATATTTTAAAATAGCGTAAATTTTCAAAAGTAAAATAAAAAATTTTTTTATCCTAATTTTTAAAATTTATGCTATGGTTTCATATAAACACTGGCGTTACCCCATTGGCAGTTAGTACAAAATTGATTATGCAATAAAAAGCAATAAAAAATCACTTTGAACTAACAATTAGTCTGCTGTAATGCAGATAATTGATAGTTAATGTGAAGAGTTATTCCTATTTGCTATAACTAAATTGAATTTGATAAAACCAATACGCAATTGTTAAATATATATACATATATATATATATATATATATATATATATATATATATATATATATATATATATATATATATATATACATATATATATATATATATATATATATATATATATATATATATATATATATATATATATATATATATATATATATATATATATATATATATATATATAATTATTGTTGTTTTGATTATTTGATAATAATCAACTCTTTTTCGATTTGAGAGTGATCAATATAAAGTGAAATAATCACAAAATAGATCAATAAATAAATAAATAAAAGGTTAGATGAGAAAAAACAACTTTTTTACGGTACTTAAAGTTTCATGCCATTTTCGGCACTCATCAGCCATATCATGATGATGGTTGCCATATCATGGATGATGGCTGATGCCAATATCATGCCATATCATGGATGATGGCTGATGAGTGCCGAAAACGGCATGAAACTTTAAGTACCGTAAAAAAGTTGTTTTTTCTCATCTAACCTTTTATTTATTTATATATATATATATATATATATATATATATATATATATATATATATATATATATATATATATATATATATCTATATATATATATATATATATATATATATATATATATATATATATATATATATATATATATATATATATATATATCTATATATATATATATATATATCTATATATATATATATATATATATATATATATATATATATATATATATAGATATAGATATATATATGTATATATATATATATATATATATTTATATATATACATATATATATATATATATATATATATATATATATATATATATATATATATATATATATATATAGATATATATATATATATATATATATATTGTAATATAAATATTTATATTATGTTTTTTTTTGTAAAAAAATAAATAAATGTAAATGGTATATTTTGACTTTTATAATGGCTGACTTTATTAAAACTTTGTAAAAAAACAAAAGCAAATATTTATACATTTTTGTTTTGAAAATAATACTTAAAACTTTTTTTATTAACAGTTTAAATTTTTTTGAAAAACATAAATTGTGCTTATTAATGCATCTGGTTTTTTAACTACAAAAAAATCTTATGAGATTTTTTTGTAGTTAAAAAACCAGATTTTCTTCTAGTGTTGTAAATATCTTTTTTTGTAGTTCTTCTAGTGTTGTAAATATTTTTTTTGTAGTTAAAAAACCAGATTTTCTTCTAGTGTTGTAAATATTTGCAATTTACAACACTAGAAGAATGTAGACTTTGTGGAGATCTTTTTCAACATTTAAAAATTCAACATGACCATTATAAAATAAATTGGGTTACAAACACTTATCAAAATACATTAAAATAATTTTGTCCCTGTTTATGATTTCACAATTTTAAACTGAAAAAATTTTTTTGTAGAAATATCTTCAGATATCAATTTTTTCAAAATTGAGTTGTAAATGTATGGAACAACTTACCTTCTTATATAATTCAATAAATAACTTCAAAAATAAACTAGAAAAATCTGAATTTTGCAGAAATTATTTGTTAAAACATGAACAAAAAGCAATCTGAGCTTTCACAGTGCAATATCTAGTGTTATTGCACTTCGCAACTGTTTACTCCAGTTGTTACAGCTATATCTTATTATTATATTATTATTAGTTGCAAATTTCTTTGATGGAAGCAAAAAAATTAAAATTAGCTTTTTTAACTATAGTGACCTTGTGGGTCTGGAAGAGGTTTACTATACTCCACACTTCAAAAAATATTTAGTAATATTATTTTTAGTTCTCTGAATGATAATACCATCTATTCTTGTCTTGATAAGAGACCAACACTCTCTGAATCAGAGAGTGTTGGCTTCTTATCAAGACAAGAATAGATGGTATTATCATCAGTGAACAATGCCACTTTAGATGTGAGAATTTCAGGGAGATTATAAATGTATATTTAAAAAGTATATACTCAAGGATATAAGCTTAAGGAACCCCTGAAGTTACAGAAAATGAAGAAGAGTGCTGTCCATCGAGGACAACTTTTATACTATGATTGGTAAGGAAGGATTCATTAATCTTAAATATGTTACCTAATACACCATATGAAGAGAGCTTATGGAGAAGACCAAACTTTATTAAAGACTATATAAATGACAAGCTCTTGTCATTTATATACTCCTTAACCTCTCCACATCTAATGCATGATAAAACTTATCAGTTATTGCTGTTAACAAATCAGCAGTAGTACAAGAAGATTGAAATCCATATTGATGATCAGAAAGTAAGTTCTTCAAGATGAGAAATTTTGTGAGGATTTCTAACAGAGATAGCACAGTCATAATGTATTCTTACTCTATATTACAATTTTCATGGTGTAAACAGCCAAAATTTCAAATGCTTAATTAAACATACCCAAAACTCTGTTTGCCTTGCTTGCTGCTTTTATCTATTGATTGTGCTATTTTAGCCTAATTGTTAAAATAGCACACTGATCTCCTTGGACATCAGTTTCTTAATTTCTCTTTTTCAGCTTAATATTATTAGTTATTTATATTATATTATTAAAATTTTTCAAACTTTTTCCAAAGTGTTAAGGTTTTTTTCATTGAAACACATACACCATATCTTGCATATATATATAATATTGTCTTTTGTATAATAAATTAATATTAGTATTTATTTTAATTTTTATTGTGACTGATATTCTTACCAGTAATTGTGTGATTCTTACCAGTGGGTGTGGTTCTAAACACAGCTGAAGCTTGAGATGGGTTTTTCAAATTTTGCTTTAATTGGATTCACTGAAAAAACTTTAACAACATTCTCTAGCAAAGAATTTTAATAATTTTCATTTTGATTTAGTAAAATATTTTCTCTGTGGTTATGGACCAAAAATTCTTTTGAATTTTTAATATTCAAATGAATTTTTTGATATTTAAAAGAATTTTATATATAGGCTAAAAGTACATTTAGATTTAAAGGCATAATTTTTTTTTAAATTCAACTTTATCATAACCATTTAAAATTTTATATAATTGTATCATATCACCTTGTTATCTTCTTTTATAAGTACCTAAAACTTGAAAAGTGTTTTGTTATTATTAATTTAGTAGCACAACACTTTTTCAAAAACAGCAGAGATTTTTTGAGTCCATACTGAGCAAACTCAAGAAGTGATTGAATAAAAGATAAATAGTATTCTGTATTAAATCAAGCAAAAGCTTCTATATTATGTCCAACATACAATTTGCTTTTTTGCACTGATGTCAAACTTGTTTTTTGTTATGTCTTAAAGTAATTTAAAAGTTGAAGAAAAAAATTTTTCAAGAAAGATTCAAGAAAGTGATATAGGTATATACTTTCTTCAATCAGTCTTGTCACCGTTTTTATATAGTTTAGTTATATTTGCTGAAATTATATATAAAATTGTTAAAACAAGTGCAATTATTAAATTAAAAATGAAGAATTATTAAGTTTATATATAGTTAATTGAATAAATTATAAAATCCATATATTATTACATGAATAAATTGAATGTTAAGAATTTTTTTTTATAGAAGTTATCTTTGAACGCACAGAAGAAACCTGCAAAAAAGTTAAATCAAAGGTTTGGTTTTATTATTTTTGCTCGGTATTTGAGTTTAGTAGCATCTATCCTAGCTTGAATGTTTTTTTTTAAATGCTTACATAATTTCTTTTAGTTTCTACATTCTATTCTTGTTGACAAAATTTTTTTTTTAGATTTTAAAATAATTATTAGATATTTATAATCAATTAAATATATAATACTCTCTTTATATTTTAAATGATTTAGAACTCTTTCAAATATTTCTGCAATTGAAGAAAGAGCTTTGTTTGCTGATCATATTAATAATATTGAAATTAGTAACGACTCTTATACCCCATCAGCTGAAGATGTTATTCCAATTATTTCTGAAATTGGTTCAGGTTATTTCCTTTTATTGTAAAAGTATATTAAATATAAAGAATAAACTAAGTTATATAAAATATATAATATATGTGTTATATATACTACTATTATATATAGTATATATAATATATGTGTTATATATACTACTATTATATATAGTATATATAATATATGTGTTATATATACTACTATTATATATAGTATATATAATATATGTGTTATATATACTACTATTATATATAGTATATATAATATATGTGTTATATATACTACTATTATATATAGTATATATAGTATATGTGTTATATATACTACTATTATATATAGTATATATAGTATATGTGTTATATATACTACTATTATATATAGTATATATAGTATATGTGTTATATATACTACTATTATATATAGTATATATAGTATATGTGTTATATATACTACTATTATATATAGTATATATAGTATATGTGTTATATATACTACTATTATATATAGTATATACAATATATAATATATATATATATATATATAATATACTATTATGTATTATGTAATATATATATATATATATAATATACTATTATGTATAGTATATTTGGTGTGTATTTTTGCAAGAAGATTAAATTTATAAAAGAATACAATAATTTTTTTGTATATTTAATAAAAATAGAAGTTATGACTGATTTTTAAATACCTTACTTAAAACACAACTGAGTTTATCTTTATTCAATAATATCAAATTTTAAAGTTTTTGTAATAAAAAAGTCAAGCTAAGCTTGTTTTTATAAAAAAACTCATTAAAATACTACAATAATTTCAATATTGAATTTCAAAACTTATTTAATTTGATTTCAAAACTGGGTCAAAGTGCAATATTTTTTTTTCTTTTTGATATATGCAAAATAAATTAAGAATTAAAATATTTTATGAATTAATTGTGAACAACAGCATAGCTAATATTAAGATTTGGAAACAATGAATGGTAAATTAAGGTTGCAAGTTTTTTTTTCTGTTTAAAAATAAAAGGGCATGGTTAGTTTACCTAGAAATTTTAGAAAGCTGACCATGGTAAGCTTACCTAGAAATTTTTGATAGCTGACCATGGTAAGCTTACCTAGAGTTTTTTGATAGCTGACCATGGTAAGCTTACCTAGAAATTTTTGATAGCTGACCATGGTAAGCTTACCTAAAAATTTTTGATAGCTGACCTTGGATTAAATTTAATAGTTGTACACTTTAATTTTTCCAAATTAAAATTTTTTTACCATAGTTTTAATTTTTCTATTTTTATTTTTATTCTAATTTTAACTCTATACAACTAACATTATAGAACTTTATTACAAAATTATAATTCTAATTTTAACTCTATACAACTAACATTATAGAACTTTATTACAAAATTATAATTGATTTTGTAATAAAGTTCTATAATGTTAGTATAAAAAAAAACATGACATTTATTTTTATACTTTTGCAAACATGAAAACATCAAAAAATGCCTATTACATTGCTCCATCATGCGGTAAATCAATGTATACTGTACTGTTTTGTGGGTCAGCAAATGACCAGTGTCTACCTCCCTTTGTTGTCTACAAAGTCATCCACCTTTATGATGTATGATGTCAAAATGGACCAGAAAATGTAATGTATGGTGTAATCAGGTTAGAGGGTGGACTATATTTTTGAAAGTAGAATTGACAGGTTATTATGTATGTAAAGAATTATAAAAGCCGGTGTTGCTGCTGTGTGATGGACACAATAGCCATATAAAATAATTGCTGTTAAAAAGGATCTGGACAATTGGTTAAGAGAAAGCAGACATAAAAATTTTGAAAAGTCTGTATTTCCAACTTTACTAAAAGTCAGTAAAGTTATCTGTAAGATAGTAAGTAGTAAAAGTAGTAAAAGCAAGCTCATGAAAAGTAGTTTTAATGGTGTTGGTCTTTACCCTGTTAACAAATCAAAACCTACAAAGAAGATAGTAAATATGCAACTAAAGCGCAAGGAAGTAGATAATTCTAACAAAAAGAAAATAATGTTTTAAACAACCTGCAGAAAGTAATTGATTCTGTACTTACACTTTGTCCAAGTTAACCTACACTGACAGCACTTGCGAGTTCAAAAAAATGTATAGCACGTGTCCAGGACAAAAAGTGCAAAATTTTAACAGCACAAGATGTTGTTGCTAGGTTTCAAGAAGAAGAGAAAAATAAAGCTGAAAAGAAGACTGAATCAGTAAGAAAAAGAAAACTGCTAGACATAACCAGTTTAACTTTTTAAATACATGAAAAGCAATTAGTGTGATATATGTTTTAAATATAATTTAAGTATCCGTATTACCCCACCAGTGGGGTAATTTGGATATATAAAAGTTGTTGTTAAAAAAGGATTAGTAAGTTAGTTATTGAAAGTATATTTATATTCTACTCATTGTGAAGTTTTTGTATACACCAATGTAAAAAAAAATAACAAAAGTTTTTTATGGTGGTTATTAACTAAAAAAAAATTATATTAAATATATCTTAATATATTTAAAGTTTTAGACATATTACCCCACCTTGAACATATATATATATATATATATATATATATATATATATATATATATATATATATATATATATATATATTACAATTATATATAAGACCACAATTATAAGACAAAAACTAGTTAGCCGGAACAGTATTTTTCAACATCGATAGAGTTAATTTTAATTTTGAAGCTTGATTTTTTTGGCATTAACAACTTCAGACTGCAACCCTGAGTGAGAAAGAGTATTTACTGACATCAAGTTTACACTTTAGTTAGCATAATTTGAATTTGAGATACAATGAAAATCGTACGTAAATCCGACGTCGGATTTACGTACGATTTTCATCAGCAATGTCAAAAGACCTATTCCAACGTTGTTCCGATGTCAGTAAAATGACGTCGGGCAATGTCTTTATCTCAACATCCCCTGACGTCGTTTCGATATATTTTGATGTTGTTCCGACATCTTATAAAAGACGTCCAAAAAACGTCGCAGTACTGACATCGATCCAACGTCGATAAAAAGACGTCGGGCAACGTCATAATATTAACGTACTCCGATGTCTTTTGACGTCTTCCGACGTCAATCCAACGTCCTTAAAACGATGTCGGAACAACGTCGTAAGACATCGCTGATGAAAATTTAATCCAAACCCAACAATATGCGTGCAATTGTGCTCTTCAATAATTATGTGAACTAAGCGTGTTTTTTTATTAATGGAAAAAAGTTTGAATAAAGGTTGATAAAACATCATGAGGTTTTGTATGATGCACTAGCATAGTTTTTTAACTATTAACATTTTCGAGTATACATTTTTTATAATATATAACTATTCGTTTTAATATTTATATAATATTTAAACAAAATTATTTCTTAACAAAGTAATAATTCCCAAATAGCTACAAGTATACATTACTAAATAAACGCATTATTTAATAAGTCCCTGTGGTGTAGTGGTAAGCGCGTAGGATTTAGTATCTAATAGACCGAGGTTCGATTCCTGCCAAAGGCAACGTTTTGTTAGTTTTCAAAAAACACGTTGGATTTACATCGGAATGCTGACTTCGCGCGATGTCAGTTTATCCGACGTCAAATAACATTTCCATTTCCAACGTAAACCCAACGTCGATCTGACGTCGAGATCCGACGTCCCTCGACGTTCGTTCGACGTCGAAATGCCTACTGGGTAGCTTAAGGTAACAAATTTCTAGTAGTTCCAAATCAAGAATTCTATAATATGAAAAGTTATTCTATAATATGAAAAGGTTAGCAATTCTCTTAGTAAAACGTCTTTTCACTCTTTCCACTGATTTGTTAATTTCAGTGCGGTTAGGCGACCATTATTCTAAAATTGGTCTTATGTAAGTAGTGTAGGCTTTTTACAAAAAGGAAAACATTGTGCATAACGCAAGGAATATGTGGGTTCTGAAACAAAAATTCTAATGTTTTTAGAAATTCACATGGTGATAAAGAAATCAACTACCACAATTTTTTAGCAAGATCTTCTTTTATATACCATATTAATATTGTTAATTTGTAATTAATTTTAAATTTTTCAATTTGATGAAATGTATTTGAAGCTTGTATGTGAATGGTAACCAGGCCAGTACCCGTCATATGGTACCCAGGCAGAAACCAAAAAGCAATTGTTTGGGTAATTTTCGACATCCATCAATTACACGTCAAAATTGCATAAAATTTTGGACAAAAAGTTTTTGTATAGGAAGCCTTTTACAAGACAGTAGCAGGATGCAGTTAACATCTGCCCATGATGAGTATTTTTATCAAGACACCATCTATAGCCTTTACTCAACCAAGAGCTCCAAGGTAGGGGATTTTTAATCTCCTAGCCTTTGCCTAAAAAAGAAAACCCTACTAGGCAGCAGGGCATGGAGCAGGTAGTACTGAGCTATATGATACCACTAGCAGGGTGGTCATGATAAAAATAGACACTGTTACGATTTATATAATTTTATAAAAACAATTTATAAATATTTTCATGTTTTTAATAATAAACTTCATTAGTTCATTACAATAAACTTTTTGTCAAACAATAATAAAAAGAAAGAGGTAAAAGAATGCAAATATTTAGTATATAAACTAGAAAAAAAAGTAAAAAGTTTTTCCAAAAAAATCACTTAATAAGATTTTCATAATTTATTTCTTGTTTTGGTTTAATGCATGTGTAATGTTTAATGAACCTGGTTTAATGCATTTGGTTTAAATGCATCGTAAATCATTAATTTTCTTTATGCAGCATATGCAAAAACATTTTAAAAACTTATCAAAAATTGTTGATATTATTAGAATTTGATAGATTAGATACTATTATTAGAACACTTATCTAGAAAAACTTTTACATGTACATGCCAAGAAAATGTCAGAAAATGTAAGCGTAACCATTTTCAAAAAGAGTCCCTTAAAGAATTTACTTTGAAGCTTTGAATTTACACTGAAATCCTCTGCCTAGTCACACTAAAATC